TGAAAAAAACAATTCAGTTACAACAATTTACTGTAAAACCAATTTATTTCTTAGTATACAAAGGCTTTTCAGTAGATTTAATATTGAAATTTCCAGAAAAGCAACATGTTTGATTTTAATATATAAGTTTCTAGAAACCCTTTGGTTTTACTACCAAACGTTTAGAAAAGAAATTCGTACGATTACAGCCTTAGTACAAAATAGAGCAATATTTCAAAAATGTCTCAGAAACCTCTTAATAAACCTTATAGACTAATTCCCTCCCCCTTTACGACCGAAAGGCATGAGGGTCAGAGATAAGCTCGGTCTAGATACTTCTTCTTGAGGCAAGCCAGCTCTGACCTTCGGCCAGTGTATACTTGGCTTGTTTGAAGAAGGAAGAGCGGCTGATTAAGTCCCAGATGAAATGCTACATGGATAAGAAAATATTAGTTCAGCTAAACAAAACCCTCCTTCATAGTCTCGATCAGCAATTCATATGTGGAGGCCAGGCTAGATAATCAAATTGTGCAACTATAACAGTTAAAGTTAACTGCTATACTGGATGCTATGGAAAATCTAATGATTACACGGCTAATTAAAATGTGAAGTTTGGCTTTAAAAAATCCGGGTTGAAATATCTTCACTCCATACTCCCATGTCGGAAAAACTGCCGGTGTGCAGGCCTGTAGTCTACGATACCTTACTGCTCTGGGCAGAAAACTACTTACCCAGTGATAAATGAAGGCCATTATGAAGGCTAAAAACAGATCACTTTTCCAAAAAAAGTCGGTGCAAATACTTTATTATCGCTCAGCTTAGACAGGCAAAAAAATTGTTTGGACACTATTTAGGCATTATTTGCATTTCCAGGGACTGTGCCTCCGTCGATTAGAGAAAAATAAGAGATCTAGTTGCAAAACATGTGGGTACAGCGGACACACATCGAATTGGCTACTTCTACCAATAATACCACGAGAGTGTCGCATCTTTTCTATGCCGACGATACCAAAAAGTAAATCTCGCTATTATGTCCTCGCAGCATTTAGAGTTCCAGTTTCGTCGTGGACTTCTCATTCATGAGTTTGAGTTGCATCTTCCTATGACTCAGACCCTAAGTTCGAGCTCCTTTGGTGATACAGATATGGTCCGTGGTGAGGCTTGGTGTTATGCCGAATTTCGCTTTGCCGCCGGTCCCAAATGCGAGAGACTCAACTATCTTCGATCTACTTGTACAGTAGATACTTGCCTAAATTAAGTAGTCTTATCAATTATTTATTTTCCTTTGACCATATATTTACTTACATTTTATACCATGTTGCAATCTTCCCCTACTTCACTCTACTTGGTGCATTGAAAAAGCTCTGTTGGTAGGATAAGCAAATATAAGAACGTGAATTTTTACCCAAAAGAATGCAATTATCTTCTCCTCTCTTGCTCCTCCTTGCTCCAATTTCGTAGGTGGGGAGTACAACTCGTGCTTTCTTCCACTTGAGATCAAATTTTGCCAATTCACTTTGCCTATTTACTCGTTACTATCACTTACCTGATGTCCCGGAGATAACCTCATACTAGCTACCTGCAATAATTTTGGTCTAGATAATAGTTGAGTTTCCTAGTGCAAAAGAGACAAAAGGCCTCTTCTCCAATAGAATTAATTACCGGATCATACATGTCGATCAAAATCACTACCACTCCAATGCCAGTAGTTCACTGAATTTTAAAGGCAGGCTAAGCATATTGTTACTGTCCTGTTGGATTGCGAGCGGTTTTCTTAATACAAACTCAAATTTGACAGATTAGTTATGTTGCCATTGGATGCACATGTCTTGGGGCTAGAATCCCGTCCAGGGTGCTGTTGACACCCAGCTGAGGTCGGGAAGGCAGACCAGATCGGGGTTTAGTGTCGAGGTGGGGCCAAATGAACTCAAATGACATCGCTGAGCCTTCTAATTACGTCATTGTTACAAAACATTCATTAACTTTAAATCGACCTAATTCCTAATATGATAGGTCCGTAATCTGATCATTCTATGCAAGAGAAGTCTGCTCTACCTGAGTGATTGATTTGGAAGTACTTGACTGGGTGGAAGCCTGCTAGATTTGTTGGGTATGATTGGGAATCCTATTCCGTTGGGGGTGGTGATGGGTTCGAGGCGATGTCAGAATTCCAGTCCGTTCTAGGTAAAGAAGCCTAGTAGGAAGCAAACCACATTGAAACTCAATGGTATTCAGAGGCCGTATCTCAAAGTGAATGACCGTAAGAAAGACTTACTCGGTGATTATGGCTCTAGATGATCTATAACGTAACAACACCACGTGTATATCTTCTTAGAATATACATTTCTTGTGCGTCACTATTGCTTTTGCTCGCCAACTCACGAATTCATTCAGGAAGCTGGAGCAGAAGAGCGGCTCTTTGAGCATATATGTAGACCTTGACTATAAAAATAGCTTAGGCATCCCAAGTCGCCTGAGTTGATTCAATAACTGTTAATGGAATTTTTAAAGTAGGCACAAAAATTGGCCTCATGATGCCTTTGAGTTTACCCTTGCCTTCCAAAATATTTTCTCAACCAGATTGAAATGTAGCTTCGAACTCTTATTTCTCATTCTAGAATTGCTGCGCCTTTCAAAACTTACTCGTATTGAAAAAAGGTAGTTTCGCTTTAGATTGCTTTAGGCGATTAATGAAGTGATTGATTAGGTTTTCGCACATTAAGATGAGTAGGCCTCTCAGTGTCATTGAATTTCACTTTGCCTTGTCTCCCATAAGATTATCTCATTCAGGAAGGTATATTCATCTTTATGTGGGAAAATCTCAACTATCAGTCATTCATTCACACATAAAGGCCTAGGATAAGCTTTACGTAGGCAATTACTGATAGTCTCGAAAGCTAGTCACTTGAAAAAGGGCAACGTGGCAGAACGGAATATTTGCGTCATTGAAAGTCCCACCATAAAATGTGATCTGAGAGGCTTAGCTTCCTTTGAATATCGCATCTGCCCTGTGGCCCACTGACACCCGTCTCGATCTTGTGTAATGGTAACTTGTCGTCGCGATGCAAACCACCCGGTTTGACCCATATGAAGGCTGTTAATGAGACCTTGGCTCAGTCCAGCCGGGTAGATAATACTATTTGGGAAGCAAGGTTATGTAAAATGCAATTGAAACGTGAGGCTTACGCATCTGAACGTGGAAAAAACTTCATTATCAGCTCTTAATTTACATTTGCTAACATAGGCTGACTAAATCCTGATTCAAGCATTCCTGTAAGTTACAAAATCTTTTCCTATTTTCGGTTATTCTGACTATGTCGACTTTACTTTTATTTCAAGTGGAAGTGTGTGTTGTAGAGATTTGTAGATCAACGTTCAATCAGGGTGGCCTTCGGGATACAAAATTTCATTTCCGTTGAAGACGGACTCTTTACCCGTTATTATTTTGAACGTTTATCTACGCTTCTCTGCAACACACACTTACACTCGACATGGAAGCAGTCCTCGTGGGCCAGTATTTATTCAAATTCATATCTCGACTATCATAAATGTCCCACAATCGAGAATTGCTTGGAAAAGAGTAACGTCCTAGCTACTCATTAATTACGGACACCTCGAGACTATGGAGCTATCATGGAAGCGGATGTGCCAATAAGCGGATAATCACAACATTTTATGGAATGAAGTCTGGGATCTAACTCTTAACTCATTCATGCAAACAAGCCTCAGTATGGTATTTCGCTTGCATCCTCTTCTACCCCTCCTGTCCACGACAGACCCACCCTCTTCTCTGCAGATATATGGACCGGCCGACCGTTTGGAAGATATCTCTGAGCTTGTGGCTAATCTGCCCGTCCCGTCGGCCGGGAGTCATCGGCCAGGCTCATCCGGACTGGGTAGCGGTCAGTCGGGCCGTCAGGCCGAGAGTGTCTACCTTGCCACTGGCAGGAGGCAGTTGCTCATCTGCCTCACCTCCGACTTCTACGGTCCAACTCAACTCGCCTGGTTCGGCCTTCCGAGAAGGGCCGTCGATGCGGAGGTCGACACCAACTGGGTTCAACTGTCTTCGTCGCGAGGAAAGGGCGACGAAAAGGCCGATCCCAACGCCGACGACTATGACTTCGAGGAGGACGAGTACCCGGCGTCATCGGTTGAAGCCGGCGGCAGAAGAGGCGCTAGGCTACGGCAGACACGGCGACTGCTGCTGAAGCTGGAGCCACATGACAAGGCGGAGGCTGAATCCGACACGGGATATCCTTGGAAGGCACTTGAATGCAGAGCGATCAGCAGTCGAGAGGATGACAGAAAAAAGCCACATGAATTTCGTGAACGTAGACGTGTAGAGCTCTATGGTGAGCACCAGAGTTTGCAATGCAGATTGTCTGTATCTATCACCAAGCTTCCATGATTGTATGGAAGCTATGACAACTCTAAGATGGCCCAGTCAGCGCATGTCTTGCCACATGCGAATTATCACTGCTGGGCTCATCTTGATTGTGCGTTAATTCGCTAGACTAAGAGACGCGCGGCGTTTTTGTTTACGCATTTAAAAGGATTTTAGGCCTTAATAGTAAGCTGGTCTCTGCCGTCTGACTGACGCTCCCAGAACTGGCTAGCCTGACAACTGATCTACAGCCTCCCATAGGGTGTGATCCAAACTATTGTCTGTTTTATGAGATGTATTTACCCTATTTCGTTTAAGGTAATGAAGGACTGATAGTAGAATAGAAAGGGTACTTTTCTGTTTGTCTTAATTGAGACTTTTTCCCCATTTAACCTACTTAGAGCCTCCAGGAGTCCCAAAGGTGACCGGCCTTACTTCGAAAAGCCTGATTCCGGCTGGAACACGAGTGACTTTACGTTGCGAAGCGAGGACAGGCCACCCACCGGCTGAACTGCTTTGGTTTGAGGGTAGGTCCCAGCGGAAGATGCTCTTCTCAAACATTAACTCGATTGACAACTTATTCATTTGAACTTTTCCCTATTCTATATCGGGTTTAACATGGTCTGACCATATATCTGTTTCCAGTTTATGGAGTCGGCTTTATGGCATCTTCGCTATTTGACCATAACAGCAGGCAAGTACATAAGAATGCTCCATCATTGCCTCTGCTTCAGTTTTGTAATATTTTATGCACCCAGGACTTTATCCATGACGCTTACGATCATATGGCCCTTCGGGTTCTCTTCAAGAGATGATTTACAGACGTAACTGTAATTAGCTGGTATGGCTTTAGGTGAGCTCAATCTCTTTTCGTAGTAGAAAGTTATTATGATCTTTCTTTCTCAATTTGGTCGCAATGTTAGGAAGACTTTGAAAAATGTGCCACGCTCTGAGTCCTTTGTCTAGGAGGATGGCACAAAAAGTTCCAGAATCGGGCTGTCGACTGAGCAATTACTTATTTTCAAGGAGGGATGCAATGTGAAAATGGGCAGATTCGAACTGTCAACGACGTTTAGGACATTGTTGAATCCTCTTGT